CCAAAAAGGTAAATCTTTTTTCTATTCCTCTTATAATTGAATTTTGAACCTCTGCACATCTATATCAGAGCTAAAAGGCCAAAGGGGGAGTTGAAAATCACGAGCGGAGCTCGACCATGTTGTCGCGGTCGCAACCTGAAAACTCATTCGATGAGCCCTTTCTCATTTCCTGTTTTCCTCGATTTTTTAATCGTCGTGTTTCTCATTTCATTATGTTGCAGGTTAGCTGAAGAGAAGTCTCAATCGCAAGAGAGGAATGGTGGAGCTGCTGTATTGGAAAATCCTCCGCTGGTAGGGTCTCGATTTTTCTCTTTTCTAGCCATAGTCCCTAACCCTATTTTTTAGAGGTTTCCATGCAAAACCAGCCAAAATCGGTCAAAATCGACCGAAAACAGTCAGACCAAGAGGAATTGCCGTTGTGGGCAACAAAGCCAGCGTCGAAGCACGACAATGTCAACGTGCCGAAATCCTAAACCGATTGAAAAAATTTGAAAATGGTCATTTTGGCCTTTTTGGGATTTTTCGGTATACATGATGCGTGTTTTTGATTTCTCCAAGAAAAATTTAGGAAACCCAAGAACCGCCAGGAGACGTAGTGAAAAAGACGGTGTTTCAAACACCAATATGATGTAAGAATCCATCACCCTTTTCTTCCGTTACGATAAATTAAAGTCTAATAATTAATAAAGGTGTGTTTTATAAAAATTAAAAATTTCTAAATTAATTACAAGTTACTAGTAGAACCGTAACTGATTAGTGTCTAATTGTCGTAGTTGTGTTACTTATGTTCTCCTATATGGTCTAAATTACTATTATTTATTTATTTTAATTACTTCTCATTCATTTATAATTTGGTTGATTATTCTCACCTATCGACTGATTGAAAACAAACACCTTAATCACGTTTTTATTTATTTTCGTATTATCTATTTGCATGACTTACTGTTGATATGTAAATATAAAATGTTGATATGTAATTGATGATTGATTGATGATGTGGATATATACATGAAAGGTTTATTGGGAACCCTAGGGAAGGGTGTACGGACCCGGTGCATAGGAAAAACCTTACAATTGACATTACCTCAGTCGAACGGGCCTAAGAAGTCTCATACCGAAAGGAGTTGAGAGGTATAGTTCACCCTCATACTGAACGAGATATTGAGGCGATAGTATGTTTGATGCCTATTACCGGACAGGGTATGAGGACGACCAGTTAAATGATATATTGGATATTGGGTCCACGCATAGGGGGGATCCCTATGGACCCCTAAAATTACTAGTAAGTGGGTAAGAAGATAAGTTACTATTATTGTTTATTTAAATATGAAATAAAATGTTATCCTAGTTATTATCTTCATATGTCAGTTTTGGAAACTGGTAAGTATGGAAATAACGATTTTTATGTTAAATGATTTTATTTAAAAAGAGATAATGGCTCCTTTTGTTGTTTATAATTTTTATCAAAATTTGATTTTCTGTATCGATACTAAGAATGATATTCTTACTAGGTTAGTGTAGCTTGTAATATCCGAGCCTAAAAAATGACTCGAGATAAATTTTTTATTCTTTAATTATCAATTTAAAATAATTGATTAATTTATTTTATTTTTATTTAAGTGAAATTTTGAGAAAAAATTAATTAGGGACAAGATTGAAAATAATTTTCGAAAAAAATGGTGAAAATTTTGGTTTTGAGAGTGTTTTTGAAAGATAAATTAGAAATAAGGTGTCAAAGTACAACTAGAAAAAGTTCAGCCACGTAGGACTGCCCAATTAGCAGCCTCGACGAACCAGAGTTCGCCGCGTGACAAGGCACGCTGACGTCGGTGTCACGCAGGAGGCCACACTGGCGATCCGCATACCCGCGATAGGATGACCCAGGATCAATATTGCGCATGTGGATGACCTGTATCTATTTTCCTCTTAGGTGCGATCGGACGGTCGAGATTAATCGTGATGAACAACTCAAATTCGTTTTTTCCTTAGATGTGATCAGATTTATGAGATCGATTGCGATGGATGGTCCAGATCAACATGGAATGGTTATAAATACTTCGCGTTACACAGGAACCTAAACTCTAGCTTCCAGCCCCTGTCGGAGAAGAAGAACCAGATGCCGTAGAGGGAGGCCGACCGTCGACCGCCGACCGTCGCTGTGTCGGAGCCACTGTTGACCGCCAGGAAAGGTAAAAATTCTCTCTACTCACTCAGAATTTAATTCTGAGTATCTATGTGACTAAATCGGAGTAAGAGAAACGGCGGGTGAGCCGAAAACTGGGGCAAAATCTGGTAAAGCTGTCGCGGCTAAAACTCCAAAATTACTCCGATGAGCCCCTTTTCGAATCTCATTTCACGTAATTTTTCGATCATTATGTTCACTGTCATTTTCTGTGCAGGGTAGTTGAAGAAAAAATCTCAGCTGTGAAGGAAAACCAGCAGAGTCGCTGCACCCAGAGGTCCCCATGTCGGTAGGTTCGGTTTTTTTATGATTTTTTTGCCAACCAATGCCCCTAACGTATTTTTCTGTAGGGATACGGCCAAAACTAGCTAGGCCGAGGCAGAATGGTATCGAAGCACAGCGGCGTCGCCGTGCCAAAACCCCAAAATTGACCGGAATGAGTTCTGGACACCAATTTTGAATGTTTAGGAGTATTTTTAGGTATGCAACGAGTGTTTTGAATTTTACAGGAAAAATTCAGGGAATCTAGTATCATTTAGGATGCGTAATAGACAGCTCGATATCTTT